TTATTGAAAAACCCCCCCCCCCCCCCCTGGTTCACAAAGTTTAAGTTCGAGAAATTTTTTTCATTATTCTACATTATAAGTACGAAGTACCCAAGGAAGTTATATACTTCTCAAATTCATTAATAATTCATGAGCAATTCAGCCTATGATAATCACTTATTTGATCACAAGATGCCATTTGGATACTTGATAAAAGTCACTAGTGTTTTCATCAAATATCTTAATTACGCATGCAAAATTACTTGAATAGAATTCCTAAATAAGTTATGCTTGGTTAAGAATTCTATTCAAATCAGCAAACGAAAACATTCTGTTACGTCTCGATTCATTTGAGAAGCCATATAAACAACTGGAGCTCGTGTCTCAACGGGATATCCAAACACTCGAAAACAATGTATGAAAACATACATTGTTTTCTCGTGTTTGGATATCCCGGTGAAACACTCGCTCTCGTTGTTCATATATTACATCAAAAACTGGACACTAATAACTGTTTTGCGAAATTGAGAGCAATTTCAGATCTGTTCAGTTTTTTTTTTATACACCCTGTATTATAAAAAATATATAAAAAATTTTTTCCGTATTTTCCAATATACAGTTATACCAACACGAGTGGAAATTGGGAAAACGAGAAATTGTGTGGAAACACGACGCCCGAAGGGCGGAGTGTTTTCACACAATTTCGAGTTTTCCCAATTCCCACGAGTGTTGATATAACTATATGGAAAAAATGTTTTATATTTGTTTTATAATATAGCACAAAGAAATATAAAGAAAGAAATTTTCAGACGTTTCTGTGTTGACATTGAGTTATATCAACGTGGCTCTTAGCCAATCAGCGTTCAGAATTTACAAATGCTATATTATAAAACTGTATATCTACACGGAAAATGTTTTATATTTGTTAAATATACAACACAAACTATACACAGAAAAACAATACTAAATATAAATTACACGATATTTTCAAAAAATCACTATACACCATATATACACTATAATCTAAAGAACTAACTCTAAAAAGTTATTACACATTATAATATATATATTATTATAATATTTGCGTTAGTAGTATATTTTCGTAGGTTATGTAATTGCCATGCAGTTTAGAAAATGGCATATTTAAATATTAGGCGTTCTTAAACTGAGAAAGTGTAGACGTTACAAGTATTACGTTTGGAAACAAACTTAAAGTGAACTATATAATTAAGGAAGGACAAACCTTGAACACAGTATTGTGTATCAAACCATTTTTCTTTCTCTGTACATTCACTACTTAGCGTCTTTGATATCA